TAAAAAAAAAAAAAAAAAAAAAAGAGAAACAAAAAACATTTTTCCTACATCTCTGGAATACATGCAGATTTCCCTTTAAAATAACTGTTAATGTGCCAGAAATATAGTGTGCTCCTACCTTTCTCTGATGCATTACATAGACCGCAGACCTCTCCCTAAGGCTGGGTTCACACTTGGGCGTTCGTTATATGCGCGTTTGACGCACGTTTTTACCGTGATTTGCGGTCAACGAAACGTTTGCGAGGGCTATCCGGCTGTATCCTAATGGATACGCGCGAAAATACGCCCCAAAGAAGCTCCTGTACTTCTTTGGGCGTAGGGTGTTTTTCAGCACGTTCCTACGCGCTGAAATATGCCCAGGTGGGAACCATGCCCATAGGAAATAATAGGATTTCACTTGCTGGGCGTTTTACAGCGCGTCGATCAGCGATGTAAAACGCCCAGGTGTGAACCAGGCCTAACTTCTCCCTACCTCCATGACCCCTACTTATGTACACACAGAGAGCACAGGAAGTTATTAGCTCACATGATTTCTGGCAAAAACAACGTTCTTTTTTTTTTTGCAATTATCGAACAAAACACTTTTTTAATTGTATATTTAACAGACTAAAGGAAAACAAATAGAAAGAAAAGTTCAATGCTAGGGTTTATATACCCTTTATGAGTTGCAAGAAAGTTCAAATCACTATTTAAATAAAAATTATATCCCTCATTGAAACAATGGGACTTCAAACAGAAGACGATCCAGGGGAAAATTCTAAATGAACATCCAATGTGCCATACAGTGAGCGGAGGACATCCAAAACTTTTTCCTGGATGAAATCCACTTGATCGGAAGGGCAGTAATCATCTAAACTTGATCTAGGAATAAAAAAAGATGTTTTATTTAATAATTTGAAGAAAATGTTAAATAAAAAGAATGGAAAGAGAATAAATCTGTCCAGCACAGTGGCTAGGTAATTAATACTTCTGTCCCGCACTGGTGTCCAAGGTTGGCAAGGGTTTACTCCAGGTGCTCCAATTTCCTCCTACAAACTAAACACAAATTGGTGCTATACTTCCATAGCAGACACCGTGAGGTTCTGCCATTAGTTTAGGTTTACAGTTATTAGGATTATTTCAGGCAAGCATCGGGGTCAAGGACTAGGCGGTTTAGTGTATCTTTTAGGCTCACATTAGCTTTAGAGGGTTAGTTAAGTGCCCTCTTCTGCTGGTGAAAATCGACATCTCACATTGCAACCATCATACACAATTTTAAATTAGTTAAATAGTTAAACTGCAGTCTGCTGAACAATATACACAGAGGAAGGTAGATGATAATACATTTTACAATTAAGCTGTAAAACACAGACAATAGGCATACCACTAGTGCATCATCTGGGTGGTAGTTAGAAATATAAGATCAAGTAATTGCACTCCCATAAGTACAGAAAATGGCAGCATATCACAGATCCCACTATGCCAATGTCGAGCTACTTACCTCAATCTTACTCTGAGGCACCCCATGTCATTACTATCCTTCTACTCAACAGCCATCATGCTTTCCATCATAACTGTTCTGCCTGGATCCACATACAATGATTCATGTGTTCAAGATATCGGCATAGTGGAATCTGTGATGTGCTGCCATTTTCTGTACTTATGTGTGCACGAGTACTTGAAATTATATTCTTAACTATAAACCAGATAATACACCAATCAATGTCTGTGTTTTTGTGTTTATAATTCTTTTTTGCACACCATCGCTGGTGGAGCTGCCACGCTATTGACTTTTTTGAATGAATCCCCGCTTCATTTAATGGGACTCTGTCTATAAAATGTTGAATGTTATTTAGTGCAGATGGAAACTTCAGAATGCATTTTTAGCATAGTTGCCTAGTTACAAGTAAGCAGTGGATGCTGTGTTCACATAAAACCAGATTGGACACTTGTTTTCAACCACTGTAATGCATCCGGGTTGCATACCGTGGATATAAAAAGTCTACACACCTCTGTAAACTTTCCAGGTTTTTGAGATGTAAAAAAACAAATCAAAGATAAATCACTTCAGAGTTTTTCGTGGCCTATAATCTGTTCAATTAAAAACAAACTGAAATCTTTAAAGGGGGAAAAATAAACTTACAATAATGTGGTTGCATAAATATGCACACCCTTAAACTAATACTTTGTTGAAGCACCTTTGATTTTATGACAGCATTCAGTCTTTTGAGGTAAGAGCCTAGCAACGTGGCACATCATGCCTTGGAAATCTTTGTACACTTTTCCTTGCAAAAGCACTTCAATTTGTCAGATTGAGAGGGCATCTTCTTTGTGCAGCCCTCCTCAAGTCACCCCACAGATTTTAAATTAGATTTAAGTCTGGGCTATAGCTGGGCCATTCCAAAACGTTTTCTGGGGAAGCCATTCTTTTGTTGATTTGGAGGTATGTTTCGGGTCATTGTAGTGCTCAATACTATCGAGATACTTTTAGATTATTGCAGGTTTTTTATTCTTTGCATACATTATTTTTCTTTTCTTCACCAGCCTTCTGGCAGTGGCCGTTTTAGCTAAGGGCAGGTTACTAGATCTCCCTTTACTTTCTGTAACTCTAGATTAAGGGGGGATATGATCTCCATGTACAAAATGTTCAATGGTGGTAGCAACATTAGCGATAAACTGTTTAAAATTAACTCCATTACAAAAACTAGAGGCCACCACCTAAAATTGGTGGAAAAAAAATTCCAGCACAAGGGGCGAAGGGGATTCTTCACAGTAAGATCATTTAGGGTCTGGAACTCACTGCCACAGGCGGTGATTTCAGAAAATAATGTGGAATTGTTCAAGAAACTTTTGGACGATTTCTTAAGGGACCGTAATATAACGGGGTACAAGTAGTACTCCTAAGAATGAGATCCTAATAGGTTGGACTTGATGGACTAATGTCTTTATTCAACCTCAAATACTATGTAACTATGTAACTAAGTAACTATGTGACTAGGACATGTGACCATGTACATCATCTCAGAGGAGGACATTTCCTTTCCCTGAAATCTCATGTATTACAGATTAGTCTTTCCCAGCAATACTCTGCTGATGTAACCTTCTTAGGATGCAATGCTTGGGCACAAATACATAATTTGTGCCAGAGGCCCAGGAAGTGGAAAAAAAGAAATTGTAAGTAACATAAAAATATGTTTAACTAATGGATGCAAGATGATTTCATATCAGCGTGCAGAGCTGGATGGTGATGAGATTTTTAGTGAAAGGGGGTAAAGGTCCACTTTAAGAATATTGCGAAAATTATCTACAGGTGAGTATAAATACATAATAACTTGAATTATAAATAATTGAAACTATAAATAATAGATTTACATTTACAAGTCATTCTATAACTTTTTTGTCTATTGGCATCCTGTAGAAAAAATGAATACAAGCTCTCGGAGGGGTTTTGTCATCACAAGCTCTAGGACCTCTCACTGAAGCATAACACTGAAAGAGTTAGGGTGGCAAAAGATACGTATGTGCATGTGGAAAGGATGCATAATTTGAAAGGTCCCATAGGAATAAAAGCAACCCATTTATTAGTGAGTGTCAACTGATAATATAAAGGATCTTTTGTTTTTTAGCAAAGGGCTGTTGCAAAAATACGTTACATGAATTGGGGCACTGCAGTTCCATTCCTTGTGAAGGACACCTCAACACACCTCAGAAACAAATGTGCACTGTAATGCACCATGGGGCAGCACAATGTACACTGTCCTGTGTGTTGTGCTGTGATAATTGACCTACAGCATAATTAAAACACTTACATGGAAGGTTTTCTAAGTAAAAACAAATGATGAAAAGAGGCAACTCCAGGATGGAATTGGCGGTCTACTGGAGCATACACTATTCACTACAGATAAGGTGTGGATAGCTTTGTTCAGAATTTGGTGACTTACTGCTCGGGCACTGGCAGCACATGGCTGATTTTCTTATTCAGTCTTGGACTCTAAAAACCTCTTCAGAAGTGCTCGCCACTAAAGACCACACTTAAAGTAAACCTTTCATAAGAGAAAAATATTGCTTGCCATTCTTTGACAATTCTAATTGACTTGTTGCTATGGTGAACCAATAGCTTTAATATTTTCATTGACACTATCCCCAAAGAGGTATGTAAATAACAAAAGTAAGAGAACAGTATATCCGTATCTATATATCCTGATGAAGAGGAAAATGGAGCAGACATTTTATTTTTAGAACATACCGTTTTGATTCAATAGAGATATTGTCTAACATGCTGTATTTTCATTTCTTTTTTACATGAGAATAGTTTCTTTTATGTCCTTTCATCCGAATAATTGTTCTCTCTCCTTAAAGAGCAGTGAACAGCCTGTGTATGTAAATAAATCAGGTCTTACCCATCTTAGACATCTAAAACTATATTAGAAAGGACCAGGTAATCAGAGCAATTTTTTAACTTCCATCCCTGTATTGTATTGCTCTCCCTGCATGCTTATATAATAAATACAATTACTTTTCAATTTGGCTTCAGCAGTCAACGTTACTGAAACCCCTAAGTTTGGATTTCCCCACCTAATTCTAGGTCAGTAAAAATCAGCATGACAGCCAGGCATCTAGAAATCTGAGTAGAAGTCAAAAGCGACAACCTCCAGGTTTCTCTTAATGATGAATTATATGATACGGCATATGTTGGTGGCACCACAGTTCATTAAACACACTCCTGGCTGCTATAGAATTGCACTTCCTCCCCACGCTCATGTACAGGCATATACAAATGTAAACGCATGCGTCAGGTGCACCTACATATATGAAAAAAATGGTGTCACACATGGTAGATTTCACCGGGCACGCTGGAGTGAGAGCAATAGTTACAGGGCCCATCATTTACAGTTATCTCTAAATTGATGACCTGTAAAAGCTTTTAAAGCAAAGCCTACAGACATTTTTGGGTACCAACGTTTTTCGCCATTTCACAGGCACACACAATTTTGAGGCTTGAGGTATCTATTTAGTTGCATCTTGCCTCATTTTTTATATTTTAGCAAGAACATTGGATATTATATTGTGCTGGCATGCACCAAAATTTTATATATATTCTAAAAAAATGTTTAGGCCTAAAATGTGCTTTTTAACATGTGTGAAAAAATTGCTCTGGCTGTGATTGGGTTAAAGCAACAGTTTCCTAAAAACTGTTCATTGGTCCAATGAACCTGATTAGATCTCATGATGTAAAGGGTCCTTAGACTGCTGGAGATCGGGGAAGAAGAGGCTGCAGGGATCTCTCTAAAGGTGCCCATACACTGCACGATTCTCGTACGAGAATCGCGGGAAATCCCACGATCGTACAAGAATCGTGCAGTGTATGGAAGGCGTGCGACCGTTTCTACTGAACTGTCGCACAACTTTTGTATTTGGAGCATGTTGGAAAACCAGCCGAGAATCGTACGATTTTTGGCTGGTTTTTAACATGATCGAGAGATGACTGCCGAACAGGCCGGTGTGCACACGCGCACACTGCACGTTCAGCATTGCAGTCATCGGAAGCCCGTCCCTCAGGGAGGCGGGCTTGCGATGATCGCAAGTACGATCTGCCTGTCCAAGATGGGCAGGGTTATGTCCACTCTTGCGAGGGTTGTAAAGTGTATGGGCACCTTAAAGGTGGCCATACACCTTACAACCATCGCACAACCATGGTTGTAAGGTCATTAACATTTCGTACGACCTGCCCATCTTGGACAGGCAGATCGTACTTGTGATCTTCGCAAGCCCTCCCCGCTGAGGGGAGGGCTTGCAGATGATTGCAATGCTGAGCAGGCAGCGTGCGCTTGCACACACCGGCCCGTGTGGCTTTCGTCCTCTTGAGCACGCTACCAACCCACCGAAAATCGTCCGGTTTTCCAGCGTGCTAGGAAGACGAAAGTCATGCGACCGTACAGTAGATGCGGTCGCACGCTGCCCCTACATCTGCCGATTATCGTACGATAATCGGCAGGTGTATGGGCACCTTAACAGGCAAACGGGATAAAGGATCAGGTGAGTATTTTTTCTTTATTTTCGCCCCCTAGAGAAAATGAGCACTTAACCATTGCAGGGTAGCCCCACTGCAAGGGTTAATTTTTAAAAATCTTTAGAGATGGCTTAATTTGTTTTCTTTTTATAACTTGTTTCCTTCATCTTCACCTAGTAATCATGTGCAAAAATACACTTCTTGACTTGAGTGGCTTCGCTCATCCCTCCATCTATGAAGGGAGCCATGGTTTTCACTCAGGCTACAAACGTCTGCATTCATTTATCTTAATTACATAGGGGATTGGGAGATGAGCAGTTTACAGAAGATAACATTTTTTTTTCTTTCAGGTCAGATCACATAAAGGGATAAAGACATTACATTTCCTGCAAGATCAACAGATATTTTCTGTACTTGCTAAACATTTTCTAAGCCTAATGCAGCTAACTGGCAAGATCAAATATATGAAATTTATGCTCTTGAATTAGTTATCATTTAACACTCAGGAGGCATATTATGTGTAAATTATTGAGTTCAACTAACTGGCTTGTGTATGGCAATTTTAAGACATTACGAACTCGGCTATTTTATTGAAACCATCAAATATAGAGTAAAAAATGAAATACAGTACAGAAGGATGCTATCTGATATGTCAGAACTATTGAGGCTAAAATAATTGGACAATAAGGCCTATACATACTCTTTTACATATTATAAGATGGCATCCTGAAAGCCATTTTTTTGGAAACTTATCCCACACATTTCTCAGCTCGTAAATCGTGAGAAAATCATTAAAATGATACAAAACAGCCAGGAAGTTATACTTCTCCGGTTATGGATGGTGAGAAGTGTCATCTACGAGATATTGACTGGCCTTGAGCTAGGCTGTGTTAGAATCACACATATTGTCTAACAATGGACAACAAAGTCTTTGATTAATTTCTTTTCATGAATGAGAAAAATAAATATAACGAGCACGTTATAAAGGTATCTTAGATACAATTCACAGGGATCGTGTTAGAAAGTCACGCCCCTCTGGCATCATATTTAAAAATAAAAGATAAGCAAACCAGTCCCACATTTTTTTGGGTGATAAAAAGTTAGGAGAAGAATATGAGAGAGGTGGATTCTTCTTAGGGGGTCAGAGGATTCTTTTTCTTGACACTGAATTCATACTGGATTATTCTTTATACAAGAGTTTCTTCTTCATACGGGAGATCTGAAGCTGATTGACAGGCTGTCCAAGGGAACCGACACAAAGCTGAAATCTCTCAGACAAAAAGATCTAACATTTTTGGTAAAGTATAATTTCTATTTATCTGCAGGCAATTGATAACCATATACATCATTACTAAACCATTTGGTCCTAGTAGCATCGAGATTTGAATTCAGATCACTCTAACTGCAGTACAATCGGTCTCTTTTCCAATCTTGGGAGGGAAATACACATATATGTATATCTCTCCGATACTGATTTCAGTTTCTAGTCTACGGTGTGGTTGTGGTGTATACTTTAAATTAAAAATAATTTATTGGACGTTTGTTTTTGCCTTAAATAGAAACTTGGCTAAGAGCCAATTCTGTGCATGATATATCTTGTGCAGTATACATTTTGAGCTGTTGTATATCTGTTGTCTGAGAGAGATCACGTGTCAAATCTGTACATTGCATTGTTACATTCTGCTGAGCTAATGATAAGCTACTAATTGCATTCCAGGAGTTACTAAGTTTTGTTTCATTTATATTTGAAATAATATCCTGTGATTTTATTTTTCTCATTATCTGTGTTGATCAATATTTTGAAACTTTGATCCAATTGATTTCTTGTGTATCACCAATTATTGTTTATCATTTTTGCACTGATTTCTTAGTTAATAAATATATATATTTTTGCACAGCTATTGCATTCATTTTTGTCTTCACGTTAGCGCAAATTTATGAACTCGAGTTATTATTTTTGTTGATTTGTGAAAATAAGTTGGGAATCTCCTTAATTCCAGATCCTGGCCTATTTTCATAAATAGAGAACTGTTTATTTTATCAGAGTAAACATTCTGACAGATATTTCAGACCCAAAGATCATATGTGGAAACCATTACCTGGCTAATGTGACAAGTGTAGGTTTTGGCAAGTGTTTCAATAGATGTTTCGTGGACTGTATGAAGCCCTCAATCTCTATTTGTGAACTGACATGGTGTGGAAGCTCAGCATAATCGCATGTAAGACCAGCCTGATGGATCTGAAAAACAGAAGTGTGGAAGTAAAACAATGTTATTTGCTGAAAAGCCTATATGAGGACAAAGTTAAATGAAAACACATATTCAGCACATGTCTGCAACACTTGCACATTTTTCCATGTTTTCGGCGGCAAAAGTCGCCGGGAGTCTGTTTAAACAGCCCCGATGCTGGCACGAAGGGGTTAAAGTCACGAAGGGGTTAAAGTAAAAATGTGTAGTCTGGTTTGTAAGGTTATGGGCTTTATTGTAAGTAAAATATAAAAATAAATGTCTAAGATAAAGAAATCGTCAGTCCAAATCAATTGTACAACCTAAAATCCTTGAATATATAAAACACAGAGAGCGCCTCCATCGTGTAAAACCTTTTTAATAAACAAGAGTAAAAAACAGTTGGATTTGTACTCACAAGGGGAGATAAATAACAGGCATTAACAGATCACGTAAAACAGACTTAGCCAGCCGGCTATCAGTCCTCCCTTGGTTGACGCGTCTCTGAGGTCACACCTCCTTCATCAGAACCTAAAATACTTCCTTATACAAGCACATGGAACTACTTAAGAGCCAAACAGAAGCCAACAGCCAAACTAGGTTTTATTTTAAGTAGGGATGCACCGATATTTCGGCGAGCACAGATGTGTGCATTGGTACAGTGGACAGTAAAGTGGGGACAAATGGGAGAAGTGGTGATAGCAGGGGAAGAGGATGTGACAGAATAGTGAGAGTGTGGATTGGTGTGCAGGCATTAATAAGCATAAAACATGGAATGCACAGACTTCATGCGATTTTGGGAAGCCCCCTCCTCATTGTCCTTAGATACATTTGCATGACCCAACACTCAAACACAAGCAAAATATCTTGGTATATGCAGTGCAGTGTAGCGAGGAATGCTACATTGGGAAGACAAAGCAACTTCTTAATGCAATGGCCAAGCATAGAAGGATAAAGTCTACAGGTCAAGACTCAGCAGTCTTCCTACACCTTGAGGAAAAGGATATTCGTTCAAGCTCAGCTAGGTGCATATTTTGGGCAGAGAGGACAACTGGTTCACAAGAGATATGAAAGAGGCCATCTACGTGAAACTGGAACAGTCATCCCTAAGCAGGAGTGGGGGCCTTCAATACCATTCGTCTTCCACATATAATACCATTTTAACATCTCTATCCGAGCAATCTGACAATTCACAACTTTAGCAATGTAAGTTGAAGTATGAACACTTGTACAGGCTTCCTGACACAAAGGATGGTATTATGCAACTAGACCAGGGTGGTTTCACAACTTTCACATCTTCCATCCAGTTTTTGAATAATCAACATCTACACTTTCCATGGTGACTGGATAAGGGTGTCTGTGCTACTAATGTGGCTATAAGTGCTGGGGTATCTTCCTCACACTCATTGTGACTGGAGAAGTGACTTGGAGAAGCTACTCCAACATTACAGAATGAGTCCAGTTGAATGCAAGTAAATGTGCGGTATTTTGCATTTTGATGTGCCTTGCTATAAAGCAGCCAGTTCGTCAAGAAAAGGCTGCCAACACATGGCAATGGAAAAAAAAAGCAGACGTGCATCTCCTTATTTTAACACAGCACATCGCTACACAAGGCATGTGTGTTGTGGTGCACTGCAGGTCTGTTGGATACCAGTCAGCACCCCCTTTTTTCCACAACAACTCTACCACTGCAAACTGCACCACTGCTCCCTCTGACACTTTATCTTTGAAGGAACATACAGGGAGGAGGAAAGGCTTAGCCTAGAGTTTCTAGGCTCCCTGGTCATTTTCTCCTCCCTCTGGTGCATCTTCTCCTCCCTAGTGCAACCTGTATTTGTAGATCTTCTCACAGAGACTCGGGAGATTTGCTTCCAATTGCTGGGAGACCTTGGAGGGGACAATCAAAAGCAGGTGTCTTCAGAGTTACCTGGGTGAACTGACAGCTATGCACTTGTTAACTATGAATTAGGCATTTAGTCCTCCAGCCTCTGGAGGCACTGTCACATTTTTGCGTTTCCAGGGGGAGGGAAAGTGCACCCATCTGGGTTAAGAGGAAAAGCATGCCAAACATTAATATGGTATTTGTGCTGCCCCAATGGGGCTTAAAAGTTGTATATAGATAAGAATTTATATAGTTGTTTCCTTAGATCAGTTTGCCTATGGACATTTTATGTTTAGTTCCTATGCTGCCATCTAGTGGCCTTTCGTGATAATGCACCTGTTTTTCTTGTATTCCTTTCCTGATCTATGACACATTTCCTGTGTATAATGCTCCACCCTTCTTCTTGTTGGTCAGTACTTCCTGTGTCATGGCCACAGCTAACAGGCCACATGTAACAGGGACACGTGTATTCTGCACAGTATGCTAGGAAAAGCATAATCTTTTGACCGCATAATACTGAAAACCATCCATCTGCTGTATCCTGTTGTCTGATGTTCAGAATAAAGCACCTTTGTGGATGAAACGGTATTGGTGAGTTCAGCTATCTGACAATGAATGTCCTCAGTGATTGAATCTGCTTATACAGGCCAGGCATAGAGGTCTCAACAAGGGATAAGTCACTAGCACAACAATCAGAGTCAGAATAGTATTATAAACCAGCCTCCTTTACTACTAAATCCTTCCAATGTGGATATGCAATCTGTATATCAGGCTCATACTAAGGGGGGGAAACAAACTCCATTTTACTTCTCATATTCTTCTTTTACAATAAGCCTAGGATAAATTATGTTTCTGGAGCACCAATCCATTAAGCCAATCAGATAGTTCTACTCGTTACTGTTGAATGAACATGTCAACTTGTTGAGAAGGCTTTTGCTAAAAGTCATATTACACCCTATATATCTGTGTTACTGAATTGAAGATATGCTCAAAAATGACAAAAGTATTTTGATGCATGTGACATAAGATATTTGGTAATTGGATGTTGTCTGCTCAGAAATGTATATAAAAGGGTCTGTCAGGTACGAGACTCAGACTGCTTTCTAACTTGTCTCTCTACATGGTGGCATCAGAAATAAAGATTGCTAAATACACTTGTTTTCTCTCTCATTTGAATATTGCTTTGACATGATCTTAGTTGTTAATACCAACCAAATACTATCATCATTCTATAAATTCATATCTTAGCACGTATCTGAGAATAAAAACGTGTTTTCCTGTGCAGACATGTATTATCTCTAATTGCTTATCATTGAATTCTTGCAGGGAGATGACAGGTTGAAGGTGTGACGGGGGCAGTAAAGCTGGCCATACACTGCTCTACTTTTTCTCGTTTAACCTGCTCATTGGCTGCCGGCTCTGTTCATACGAAGATTTTCCGACAGGCTCCTTCGATCAGCTGATCGAGGGATGCCGGCCAAAAGTGTGCCGACAGCGGCACCCACTGTGCGTATTTCCATTGTTACTGAGCATATGAATGCCATCTTTTTACTACATATGTTTCAGTAAGTTAACTCAAGCTCTAGCATCACTCCCAGAATTCCTGACCATTATGCCTCCATATACTGATTAGCACTGCCCACCAGTTCAAATTACCTCACAGCTCTCTAATGCTAAGGTCATATGGCAGTGCGCTAAACCTGCAAAAGGAGAGGTACTACATTTCTGTCACTGAGATGAATCATTGTAATTTTCCTTTAAAAAAATACTAACATAAAAAGCTCTTGTACGACCTTAGCCTTCTAAAGCAGCATTTTGCATGATTGACAGAGACTGTAACAAGGCTTCCATTGTACTCAAAGTATTATAATTTAAGACAATTATGCAGTCAAACAATATTCAAGTATAAGAAATACTACCATTTCATAGTCTGGTGATTCCATTCGGGATTTCAAGCTCTGTACAAGTGAAACTAGACTGCTCATTCTGAAAAATAAAATACAAATCAGAAACATGTAACTAAGAAAAAGAGTCTTTTCGAAGTAGGTTCCTACAAAGGACAGCAAGCTATTTTGAAAAATGTCAAAGTGCAACTACAGGGACAATATACCACCTTGAACTCTTTAACCCTTTATTAGGTCAGACAGTGTTCAAATGTAGTTGACAACTGATAATGAGAGCTTTCACAGTACAGACAGGGTTAAATTAAAGTAAACATACCTCCCTAGCCCCCTAATTAACAATACATAGAAGGGGAAGCTAGGGTAGGATTGTAAATATTCATTTTTAATTAATTATTTTTTTTTAAATGGGATCATGTGACAAATATAAAGTAGGCGGTATCCTAAATTTCCTGCAAAAGTTGAAATATGCTTTAAATTGTGTGAACAGTTCTTGCAGATAAACCAAACCAAAATCAATATAAATAAGAGTAGGATATTAAAAATAATTTTTCACTTCCCCTAATAACAGATGTGAGGACCTCCAAACTTACACAAATCTCAGTAGATGGTCAAAGCAGAGTGACGCAGCTGTCTAACTTTTATTGTGTCAGTGAAATGACTCACCTTTCGTTGGATTACTTTTAATCAAAATACTTTGATAAATTTGATTGAAATTTAAAATTTAAGGCGCTGCTGGTGAAATAGAATAAAATGGCAAAAAACCTACAAGAAAAAAAATGCACCTCATTCCCTAAAACTTGCTTTATCTGACATATCCATAATAATAACATCTTTCCTGCTGTCTTGTTGAAGGTGTGATTTGATGATGAAGCAAATGCCTGCTGACAGTTTAAAGGCTGGCATAAAACAAAACTACAAAACCACTGGACTGAGCAGAAAGTGTTGATTAATTTCTCGATTACATTTTTTTGTAACTGGAATTGCTGTTCACAATGTCTGCTAAGCCAACATCTACCTCTAGTGGCTGCCTTTGAATATTACACTGAAAGAATACTTTAGAACCACAAATGGTCAGTGCATTCTTTTTCTTCTACATTAAGAAAAGGTCAGATCATTCTCCAAAAGATTTCTTATCACCTACAGCACACGAAATGTATGTCTTTTAACTTGTCACTCAATTTCATGGAATATAGCCTGCATTGTAAGACCATCATTTTTATTTCTCAGACACTTGCTTCTTTTTCCCTCAAATAACCTTACTTTCAAAAAGACATTTTGCAGCATGCTAGATGAGTCCCACATGATGAACAATAGATACACAAAATCTATTTTGTTTACCTATCTACATAGCTAAATCCATGTTTTCCAGTTTAGGAGGAGAGAGGATGGTTAAAACCCTTGTCAGGTTCAGGTTATTTACTTTCTTTTTTGTCTCAGTTATAGCCCCCTCCTCTTATGAGAGTGTCTAATTATTCTCTATGCCGGCCCAGCTGCTCCACCCCATCCCTTTATCTCCATTCATAAACTTTTACGTAGCTGCCAGGGAAGGCGCAAAAGGGAAAACTACAGAGTGCCCCTTGAGAGTCTGCATGGGGGCTGCTAACATAACATCCGAGATGGCAGCATACCAAAGCAGTCTCATGAGCAGAACAGGAGTGGATATAGATCACTCCTATTCATTCATAATTGAGGATATAGTAAGCATACCATGTCCTCAATTATCTACAAACACTCAGTGATCACTGATCGCTGAGTGTTTGTAGCCTGCTCTCCTCTCTGACATGCTGTCAAAGGAGGCTGAGTGAGCGGTGCGAGAGGAGAGCCCAGCCTCCTGTGACAGCGCTGTCTCCGCCCCCACACCGCTGTCACACTGTGATAGGCGGCGTGGGAGGAGAGACACCAGCCGCTCACAGCACTCTCCTCCTGCAGCGCCGGGCCGGCTGTCACTTCCTCTCCTCCCCGCTGGGCGCTGCTCTATGTCCCAGCGGGGAGGAGAGAAAGTGACAGCCGGAAGAAACCTGGGATGTGCCGATGTATAGGCAGGAAAATTGCACTTTTGGTATTATGCCAAAAGTGCCATTTTCGGCCGATATATCGGTGCATCCCTAGATACAATGTATCAAAAGTAAGACTGCACAGGATTTATAATTTAAGAAGGATCTTTTGAATTCCTGTATGTTAGGTAAATATCCAATAATGCTGTTAAGAAAATCAAATGTATTATCCATACCCGGGATTGGAGGCCCATCTTTGCACAGTCTCCTCACTATCATCTTCACACAGCTCTGCAAAGGCAGCTTCTAGGTCTTCAAGCTGACGTATACGGTTCTCTACGCAATCCACTAGGGCATCCTGATAATTCATCAAGAAGAAAGTGATCACATTCCAGGATTGTGCACTATAAACTCTACTAGGAAAAGCATGCCCAGTTAGGCACAAAAGGGTCTGTGACAATGAAATGTCAAAATGCAATCTAAGGCAGAACAACACGCAGTGGCAGTGCACATAACATACAGTTACAAAAATGTGGAGTCCCATGGAGTGGAGTAAAGAATGTGCATCACAGTGTACACGTAGAGCGATGTGGCATTTAGTATTGTATAGAGAGTGAGGTCATACAAAGAACATAATGCACAACACACAGTACAAAGTAGAGTGATGTGCAGTATATAATGAACAGCACAGTGTATAGAGTAAAGCGGTGTGCAGTATAGATTGCATAGCACAGTGTATAGAGTTAAACACTGTGCAATGTGGAATGCACAGCACAGTGCATAAAGTGGAGCAGTGTGCAATGTAGAATGGACAGCACAGTGCAGAGTAGAGCAGTGTGCAATGTAGAATGGACAGCACAGTGCAGAGTAGAGCAGTGTGCAATGTAGAATGGACAGCACAGTGCAGAGTAGAGCAGTGTGCAATGTAGAATGGACAGCACAGTGCACAGAGTGGATTAGTGTAGAGTCTGTGATATACAGCACAGTATACAGACTGGACTACTGTATATAACTAAAATCACAGTGCACACAGAGTGGTTTAAATCACATATTGTACAGCACGGTGTACAGAATAGAACTGTGTAGTATTGAATGCGTGTAGAGTATAAAACATGCAGGTCAGTATGCAGCACATCATCCCTAAAGCAGACATTTTAGTGAGAAAATGATATGTGTTTTGGGACAAACCTCCTAAGCGGAAAGAAGGAACAACTGCCAACTATGTGCACAGTGAAGTCAAACTCCAAGATTTTTTTTAATGCTTTGCCTGTGTCTAGTTTAAAAAACAAAAAGAAAGTTTTCAAAGCAACATTTACCCACTCCACCCTCCAGGGCCGTCCCCTGTATCCTCGCTAATCCTGCTGAAGGCCATCCAGTATAATTCAACCCACTTCCTGTATGTCCAGGTCATCATGGACTCATTCCTTGGAGTGCGCCCTCATGCAGCTTTGCTTGCAGAACACAGAATGTTGCATATAACAGCACTCAGATGTCATAGCATGAGCAACATTCTATCACTAGTGAGGCTCACCATCTGCTGGAGATGAAAAGGAGAGACCCTGCTCATCATGACTGACCAGTAGACAGCTGGCTTAAAGGGACATTAAAGTCAAAAGGCTTTTAAGCTATTTCAAATGCTGATTAAAATGGATGCTGCTCCTCGATATTTAAAAGTTTTTGTTTCCTGCAGTGCCCAAATCGTCAGGTACATTATAATACAGATGTCTCCAGCAGCTTAGAATAACCTTACGTTTGCTTCAATGCTGCTGTGTTAAGATACTGGCAGTGAAAGAAAAGCCCTATGTAAACTGTGAGTCACGGGAGTCAGGGATTACACAAGGCTATGGACTCCCTGTCTCATTGAGTAAGTTACAACTGACATACTCGGTATTTTCTTTGGATCCTATTCCTAACCCTTATAAGTACAAAAAGAAAATGTATAACAATCACTATTCCCTTTAAATTCCACAGTAAATAATACAGAATTTTGGTATACTAGGAGGTTTAAGAGATTTTTTAAAATCCTAGTTACACTACACCAGGGGCGCCCACTACACCAGGGGCTGCGTTCTAGTCCAGTGCGATCCGCAAAAGTGCTGCAAGCACTATGTTTGCAGATCACACTGGACTGGAATGCAGGTACTGATGCCTGCATTCCGGGTGCAGGCGATCGCACTGTGGGCGGGGGGCATGGCTGAGGTGCCACTGACTCCAGCACGGTTAGCTGCTGGAATGCACTTGTATCGCATAGTAAACTCCCTCCTGCGTTCTAAAGTCAATGGCACACCAGCCATGCCCCCTTCACAGCCACAGTGTGGGTGGTGCACGCGAACGCGGCACAAAAATCCCTGCGTTCTGGTCCAGTGCGATTGGAAAAAAATGCTGCATGCACTATTTTTTCTGATTGCACTGGACCGAAATGAGGGCTTTGTGGTTTCCGATATCTGGTGACTTCAATTCACCGCCACGGCCCCTCCCAGCCGAGAACGCAGGAGGGGGGGGGGGGGTTTACCATGCGATTAGCGCGTTCCAGCTAACCGTGCTGGAACGTACTCGAGTGAACAAACCCAAAACACCGTCCTAAAACATTGCATTCTTTGATTCAGGCATTATCTGCGTTCAGGTGCGGGAGGAGGTGTGGCGGTGCATTGAAGTCAATGTCACCATAGCCATGCCCCTCGCCCATATTGCAATCGCCCTCACCTGAACGCGTTCGGGTGCGGGCGATGGCCCCTGAACGCAGGGAACCGGCCAGAGTGCGATACAGTGCGTTCCAGAGCCTGACCGCTCTGGAACGCACTGTTTGTGGTGTGAACCGGCTCTAAGGCCTCATACCCACCATCCTCAGTGCGTTTCAGTGCTATTGTGTCCGGAACGCATTGGATCGCATTGCAGCTAGCTCAGTTTGATGTGGGGTGCGGTGGTGTGTTGAAGTGAATGGCACGGTCTCTGGCCGCAATGCGATAGGCCGTACGGGAACGCAAGGCACATCAATGCCTGCGGTCCGGTCCAGTCAGAAAAAATGCTGCAAGCACTATTTTTTATGACCGGACCGCAGCCATTGATGTGCCTTGTGTTGCCCTGCGGTCGAACGCATTGTGGCCAGAGGCGTGGCTGCGGTACCATTCACTTCAACACAACGCCGCGCCTCATCCTGCCCCACAGCAAACTGAGCTAGCCGCAATGCGGACACAATAGGACCGGAACGCACTGAGGATGGTGTGAATGAGGCATTAGAAATCTTAACTGCGCAGCCCCTTAACTATACTATCAGCTCCCACTCAAGCCAATAGCCTACCTGCTTCTGGCTCTTCAGGTGTAGTCCCAACGTGCAGACTGGGAGGAGTGTCTAACGCTGTAGGCGGGGAGGGGCCGGTCAAATTTGCTGAAGAGAGGGAGGAGCTGCTAGTGTCACTAGTGCTGGATGCAATGGACAGTGAAGTAGACGGCGGAGGGGAGGGCCGAAGGGCGGGAGCAAGTGTCTCATGGAAGTGGTGGCACGCCTACGCTACAGACAGGAGGGGAGAGCCGAATGTGTCTGATGCTTTAGCGTCCATCATGTTCGGGTAAACAGAGCACGGGACAGGGAGTCGACCCGCGATCTACCAGCGATAGCTTTGCGATCGACTGGTAGATCGCGATCGACCTTGTGGGCACCCCTACACTACAATATCATTTAAGAAAAATATAATAAAACACAATGGGGGAATTTATTAAAATTGGAGGAGACAGAAAGTTGAGCGGTTGCCCATGGCAACAAATCAGCATCTCTCTTCAGTTTGCTCAGTTGAGATTTGCAAATGAGACATAAGAGCTGATTAATTGCAGTGCAAATCTGCCCCAGATTTTGTATGCTCCAGTTTTGATATATTCCCCCCAATGTACTTTGCTATTCATGGTCTAAAAAAGCTCCTTTCTCTACAAAATAAAAGGCAGATACCATGAAGGAACATATGAGAGCAGGAAATGGCTTTAGCAATCATCTCAATAACAGCCTCTCTATCCACTAGTTGTAACATAAAAAAGGAAGCTGAAGAGACAGAAAAGCACTTGTGTGTGTGTGTGCCAAGTATTTCATTGCATATTGTTGTCTTTTACCATTTTATTTTATGGTAACCCAAAACTAAAAGCTCCAATAGGCACACTACAGAGCTTTTTAAAGGCTGCAGTTTATGGTGTTTCCTTAGAGACCTAACAAAATCAAACACTACTTCTGCTCCAAAAGCAATATTCTACGCACCATTTTCAATGACACACATACAGTGACTTTCATTTACCTCTAAAGAATCAGAACTTGGCTTCTTAAAGTTGTACAGCTCCTGCAAGATCTTGTACTCATCCTAAAAGTAGGAAACACAAAAGCATCATGGGGCAAAGATGTAGAAATCAGATCACAAAAACAGATGATAATATGAAGTCATACTATCAATTTGCAGAAGTGCCACTGACTCCAGCACGGTTAGCTGCTGGAATGCACTGTAATCGCAAAGTAAACTCCCTCCTGCGTTCTGAAGTCAATGGCACACCAGCCATGCCCCCCCTTCCCAGCCACAGTGTGTGGTGCATGCGAACGCGGCACAAAAATCCCTGCGTTCTGGTCAAGTGCAATGGGAAAAAAATGCTGCATGCGCTATTTTTTCTGATCGCACTGGACCGAAATGTAGGCATTGTGGTTTCCGATATCTGGTGACTTCAATTCACCGCCACCCAGGGGGGGCTGTTACCATAGATACAGCGCGTTCCAGCTAACCATGCTCGTGTGAACAAACCCAAAACACCGTCCTAAAACATTGAATTCTTTGATTCAGGCATTATCTGCGTTCAGGTGCAGGAGGAGGCGTGGCGGTGCATTGAAGTCAATGTCACCATAGCCATGCCCCTCGCCCATATTGCAATCGCCCTCACCTGAACGCGTTCGGGTGATCGCCCCTGAACGCAGGGAACCGGCCAGAGTGCGATCCAGAGCCTGACCGATTAATAAATATGCAGAACAATGCCTGCTCGTCTGCTTGCGCTGAACAATGCTTGCGCGGAACAATGCCCGCGCGCCTGCTTGTGGGAACAATGCCCGCGCGCCTGCTTGTGCAGAACAATGCCTGCGTGTGCGGAACCATGCCTGCGTGCTTGCTTGTGTGGAACAATATCTGCTTATGCAGAACAATGCATGCAGGGCTGCTTGTGAAAACAATGCCTGTATGTCTACTTATGGATACATTGCCTGCACATCTACTTATGGATACACTGCCTGCACATCTACTTATGGATACACTGCCTGCACATTTACTTATGGATACACTGCCTGCACATTTACTTGTGCTGTACAATGCCTGTAATGTAATGCATGCACTCTAAGGCCTCAAACATGGTTGTACATCTTGGCACTTGGTAACAGATGGGCACCAAAAGCCAAAGTGAATTCAACCAGTTTGTGGCTCCAAGTCGCATTCTATCTGGCTTTAGAGAACAAATGTTCTTTTAAATATTATAACAGGCCTGAAATAATTGAAGCCTGACAGGTAATCACACTGCACTTATCTGCAGGGGGGAGTGATTATATAGGCTACCATGGAATAACATGGCTAAGCTGACCACAAAACCTGTAGAAATTTGTTTTCAGAACTTTAAAACATTAGATTTATCTATAGTAAGCCGAAAAACTTGAAGGGGAAGGATGAAAGATTTTTCTCAAACAAATTTCCAAATGTGAATATGGTTTCAGGCATAATCCCAATTATTGTAATGTGCACATTACAACTCATATGAAATTCTATACGGTATATGGCCAGATATTCTTTTTCCCTACAGGTAATAAACGCATACTGGAGAGGAAACTGTGAATGGGCAAAGTCTCCCTAAAAGACTTCTGAATGCTGGGGTGGCCCTGAATGTTGAGCACCCTAGATTAGCACATGCCACACCGCGCGAAAATGCGGGACAAACTGAATCCCATATTGAATCAATAAAGGACGCAACATGTTTTCGTGATCCCTGGTGAACCCAGATGGCACCCCAGTTGAGGAAGGGTGATTTAAATAAGTTGACTGTGTTATATACACTTTAAAAGTGCAAAATTATATTACAATAAGGGCATGTTTAATGTACAGTATGTATAGACATTCAATGTATGTAAATGGAAATTATTGCCTCAAAAGACTACATTGACATAAACTTATGGCTAGGAATTAGGTGATGAAATGTTGTAGCATTCTATTCATCAGTTTTTTTTTTCTCTTGGATAGTTCTATTAATTTCTGTATCACGTTATAAGACTAAGAATAAAAGCAAAGTTTTTATCATTCACCTTATTCATTCCAACAAATATTAAGTACTTTCAAAGAAGACTTCAGTAACTCATATTTCTGTTCTAATGCATCTTTAATAGTGATTTATAAATCAGTAATACGCTCTCCTCATAACCTGTAATAACCAGATAAGTGTATGAGTGAGGCAAGGTGAAACACTTATTTCAGGAATATAAAAGTACAGCCATTCACATAAATTCTAGAATTATGAAATGTAAAATCAGAACACATAAGCTCCACTGCAATCTCTTGAAATCCCATCCTACTTTACCCAAATGTACCAATATTTTGGTGTAGTAGTGTCTACTGTTACTGTCCCACCTCCCTAACGAATCGGCTGTTAAAGTTAGCTAAAGCTTAGAAAAAACATGTGCAAAAACATAATAAAGGAAAAAAAAAAAAAAAAAACCTTAATTTTTCTTTATATATTCTTTTAATCTTTACAATTAAATATTTAATACAAGGTGCATCCATAACACAGGTTTTGCCAAGCATTCAGCATCATGTAAATAAAGGGGATAGCAGAAGCTTTTTGCTCTGACTGTCTCTCTCTCCAAATGAAAGTTTAAAAGAGACGTATAGAAAAAATAGAGAAAGGGCAAATGAGGAACGTCTCTCTCTCATTCAGCTGTGTGTGTAAGTGTTTTCAGCACAGCAGTTAGGGTAAGCCTGATAAATGCTGGCTGGAAATGGCAAATAAATAGTCAGTTCCCTTTTAACATTTATCTAAACACAAAATAAACACTCTTTTAAACAAATTTATTTTTAGTTAGGGGAGAGAGCGAGGAGAGACAGCCAGGGGAGAAAGAGGAACGAAAGCCAGGAGGAGGAGCGAGAAGAGACAGCCAGGAGGAGGAGCGAGGAGAGCCAGCCAGGAGGAGGAGCGAGGCGAGACAGCCAGGAGGAGGAGCGAGGAGAGACAGCCAGGAGGATGAGCGAGGAGAGACAGCCAGGAGGATGAGCGAGGAGATAGAGCCACGAGGATGAGTAAGGAGAGACAGCCGCAGGGATGAGTGAGGAGAGAGAGCCACAAGGATGAGTGAGGAGCGACAGCCACAAGGATGAATGAGGAGCGACAGCCACAAGGATGAGTGAGGAGCGACAGCCACGAGGATGAGTGTGGAGAGACAGCCAGGGGAGAGAGCAAGGAGAGACAGCTAGGAGAGAGAGAGCGAGGAGAGACAGCCAGGAGGATGAGCGAGGAGAGACGCGCAGGAGGATGAGCGAGGAGAGACGCGCAGGAGGATGAGCGAGGAGAGACGCGCAGGAGGATGAGCGAGGAGAGACAGCCAGGAGGATGAGCGAGGAGACAGGCAGGAGGATGAGCGAGGAGAGACAGGCAGGAGGATGAGCGAGGAGAGACGCGCAGGAGGATGAGCGAGGAGAGACGCGCAGGAGAATGAGCGAGGAGAGATGAGCAGGAGAATGAGCAAGGAGAGACAGCCAGGACAGATAACCAGCAACACATTTGCCTGAGGCAGGACCCCTGTGCCCTTCAAGACTTATCTGCACCATGTGTTTCAGACACCTCCTTGCTCCCCTGTTGAACTGCCATTTTGTGTCCCGGTTTTAGCTGGCCTGAAACCCGGACACCACACATACAGGACTCAAAATCCAGACTGTCTGGGTGAACCCTAAATACGCCCCTGGCTGTTGCAAAAGGCCCCCTCTCTGTCCATGGGCTGACCTGATGGAGCCTGGTACAGGAGGACTGCTCTGTCCCTTGTGATCTTGTACTCAACATGAAGTTCAGTGAAGCTGAGCTGGGAGAGTTGAAGCTAGCTGTTTGGAAACATGATGACTGTAAGTGCTTTGGCAAACATGTAAAGAAATACTTTACATAACAGGGCAATGCATATTTCTTTGATCTGGATTCATTATAAAAACATGTTTGAGAGTTTAATACTACTTTAAGTGTGTACTGGATGCATGGCATGTGCAGAGCCCCCAATAAATGGGGTGTAATAAGCTTTATTGTCTATGACAACACTCTTCCAAAGCCTCTGCTTCAGGTCATGTACACAAAGCAGAGAGTGCTTATCGGAAATCCATGCCAGAGATATGGAAAAAGTTAAAACGTGACTATAAACAGGTGATCTGCAATTTACAAGAAAGTCAATTCATGCAAACATAAATCCATTCTAAACAGCGATAGCACATAAAGTAAAAAGATTGACCTGTGTTAATGTATTTTGGTGCACACATACCTGAGTATACATTTCCTTGAAGGGATTCTTGACGGAAAAGAAATCTAAATCTATATCCAAGACGTAAGCATCCCCTTTCTCCAGGATTTCCATAATGCTTCTAGCGAGTTTAGCATTCTGTGATAATACGGTGTTGATATTGCCACTTGTTTCCATGCTGTCAGAAGAGGAAGTGCCCTTTCTCAAACAACCTTCTGCTCCATCACACAAAGCAAAGGAGGCTCCCTGTGAAGAAGCACATTGAAATGCATAGGCAGGACCACCTGCTAGTTCATCATCTTCCGCAAGCTTGAGTTTTTTAGCAGCAGATTCACCTTTTTCGGCATTTTCACAGCCGGGTTCCTTCACAGGGTTCAACAAGATGACATCCAGGTGAAGAGGCTTGGGGTATTCAAGCTGCTCCTCGGGGACGTAAAGACCGTCGCTTAGAAAGTAATCATCTGTGCTGGTGACCCTGAATTTATAAATTAGAAAACATATTTGTAGGCCGCAGTTTCCAAATCGGGTCTTTTCTATCTTACAGACACAGGTTGCTGTATAACTAGCACGATTCAAAATCAAATCAATATAACTGTCTGTGAGAAGAGTAGCACATGTTTGTCAAAAACAAATCTGTCCCCTGAAGCAGCTGGCAGAAAAAAAACTTCACACAATGCTACCTGCTGCTGTTGTCAGACTTGGTCAGTATTCTTAAGACAGGACTCCCACTGTGAATAACAAAAAAAAAGAAAAAAAAGAGGACTGGCAAGAAAAATATCTTTTATATTGTGTTCTAAAAACTCTGTGCATTTCTTAAGATGCATGCTCATCCAAAACTAAAATTTCAGCTGTCGCTGGATGCTGGGGGGTGCATTCACCCAATGGCTATTTACATGATATCTTTGTCTGGGGTACTTTTTTTTTTTTTACATTCTTTATTTACATTTTTCCGTGTACAAAAACATTTTCCCACAGGGATGTCCAAATATGCAGTACATACATAGCTTCAGTAGCTCCAAATATACATCAGTCCTGGACAGGGAGGGAAGACAAAACGGGTAAAACAAATATAAAACACAGGGAGAAGCATGTGTCGAGATCCAGACCCAGATGGTGGCACAAGGGTGGAGGTGCAAGACTTCTACCATCGGTCTCCATAGTGTGTAAGGATCTGGGATAATATCAAGTGCGGGAGCAGAACACCCGAAGTCCTCAGGAGGGTCGGGGTCACAACACTCTATCAGAGGCTTGCAATGAAGTTTATCCGGGGTTGTAGAGGGGGAGAGGGTGTTAGCAGAAAACCAAGAGAAAATGTGGTGTAAGATTAGGGGGGGTTGAGGGGAGAGGGAGCAGGTTAAGCAGGGGTAGCAGGGGGGGAGAACCAGTAGTGAAGTCCCGCTTGGCAGGTCATATCTCGGGGCCTTGCCGTAGGGCTTCATATGCTGGAGAGTGGAGGAACTCAATCCAGTAGAACCAAGTCTTTCTAAACCTGTCTGAGGTGTCACGGAGGGAGCTGGTAAGGTCTTCCATAAGGTAAATGTCATGTATCCTATCGAGCCATTGGGGTACGGTGGGTGGTTCGGGGCTCTTCCATAGGGCTGGGATACACGCTTGGGCTGCGTTGACTAGATGGCGGACGACGGAGCGTTTGTAGGTCTTGGTCGGTATGTCATTATGGTGCAGGAGGAAGAAGGCCGGGTCGCGGGGCACTGGGAGGTCCGTGAACTTTTGGGTGATGGAGCGCACTTGGTCCCAAAATGCGCTGAGTGAGGGGCATGACCAGAATATATGTAAGATGTCCGCTGAAGGAGCGCAACATCGCCATCAGGTATCTGGAGTTTGGGGATACATGAAGTATAGAGTTTGAGGTGTCTTATAGAGTTTGAGGTGTATCTGAGGTACTTTTATGATAAAATTATTTCTTCTCCTTTTCCAGCTCTGTCCAACCCCTGTGGTCGTTATGCGAGGGTATAGTTTACTACCATTGAATTAACCATTCTTTTTTACATTGTAAAAAAGGCAGCAGGAGGAATGAGACTCAGCGATAAAGTCAGTGTACATCTACTTAAAACCAAATTATTGATGACTTTACTGGGAACTCCATGTGCTATACGAATGTCATTCCTCATTTCCTAACACGAGCTTGACATTCATTCTTATGCAATTTACCATTTGAAAACCGTGTTGCTTTCAATATAGTTGGTTTATGCCTTTGAACATTTTTAATAAAGATTTTTGGATTTAAAAAAAACCTAATTATTACTTTCAGGTAGACTTGGTGCTAAATAAAATGTAAACACAGTATAGGTGTCAGGAACCAGGTCTGAACCCAGAGCCTCTGCTGTAGCTGGCGGTGGTTCTACCTGCTGAGCGACCTGAGAACCTTGGATAGCTCCTTGCCTGATCTCCTGTGTATCCTCAGTTATACCTAATCAGATGCTGAACTCTGACCTCCTTGCTCCTCCCTTGAACTTCCTATTTAAGCCATGCCTCTCCACTTCCTCTTTGCCAGATTATTGTGCTCCTGCCCTGATCTTGCTTCCTGCTCCCTCTGTGCTACAATCTACTACTACTACTGCTTCCCGTGTACCGGCCCCTTGGCTGCTGATTCATTGACTACTCTCACCATCTCCTCCTACAATACCGGATACCTTGGCTCCTGACCTCGGATTTTTCGCTGACTACGCTTCTGCCTGCTCCTCCATTAATACCCGCTGCTTGTGTAACGAACCCGGCCTCTTATACTACAAATTGCCTGCTGCTTCAGCTGCTGGACTCTGAGCCTGATCCTAGATCGTGACAATAGGTCGGGGACTTTGCCAAAACACAAAAATTGATATGTCACAAGAATAGTCATATAAAGACAATAGAGATAGTTGCAAGGAAAGAAAAAATTGTAATGTAAATAGTATTCATGCCATAAAAAAAAAAGGAAGTTTCCATTTGTAGGGAAAACTGCCTCCCTGCCTTGAACTCAAATTTTGAAGTGAAGCGTGAATGTTTAACATAGAAATGTATGGAGGAGATAAAGTCTATGTGCCTAGGCCTGTGTTTTCATCCTGTTAAAAATTGAGTACATCAGCACCCTGTTCTATAAAAACTACTGGTAACCTATAAACTGGCTTTCTGGAAACACCTAACCCCCAATTTTTATTCTAAACACAAGAAATACACCTTAAAGGATATTCAAACCTAAGAACTATAATATATTGCAGCTAACCAGCCCTTAAAGAGGAATGTTACCGATATCTTTAAAATAACAACAAATACACCTTTAGAAATGTTTAGTAATGACAATCTATAAAAACACACTTATAGGTAATTGCCGGCTTTGTATTCTTTGCTTACATTATATTTTTCTTTCCCATTCGTCTCAAATGGGCCATTTTAACTAAGGGCAGGTTACTAGATCTGCCTTTACTTCCTGGAACTCTGCACATCATCTCAGGGGAGGAAAATGCCTTTCCCAGCAATGCAATGTAAATGTAACCTTCCCAGCATGCAATGCTTGGGCACATTACACCATGAAAGGGGGTGTGGAAGGGGCTGCGGATGCCAGTTTTGTGCCCTGGAAAGAGCTTGCGGGAGCAGGGATCAGGTAAGTAAAGGTCCTTTTTCCAGGTACACTAGACCTAGCAATTAACCCATGCCATGGAAGCAGAGTACAACCCCCGCCTAATGGCCAGAAAGGATATAAATACAGTTTTTGTCCACCAAATGCCTTTGCAAACCCGGTTATTACTCTGCAGTGGTGACATCATCTCTGTGCTGTACAAAGCTTGTGCTAAGAGCAGAGCTGTCAGCAAGAGCCAACAGGTCCACCCACTACAGGCCATCAGCAGAAAACTACAGAATGAACGAATACAAGACCAAAAAGTCAAAAAGTGCTTAAACTATATATGTAAAGCCAAACTTTTTTTGTTCATTCTGAATAGAGTAAAAGTGGCCATACATTGTACGATTTTAGTTCGGAAATCGTACACAAATGGTCTTTCGAACGATAACCGAACAGTTGATGGTACGTCACTGATTTTCGTTTTTGAAATTTTTAGTTCTGTCAGGTTGGAATTTTTTTTTTGTCTGACCGAATGCAAATTGAGGAATCAATGGCGTTTACTTTCATCAAAAATATCTTCAAGAATACATCACATGCACAAAAGGAAATTAATTCCGTCGTTCTTCAAAAATTGGTAGGTTAGTATGTCTAACGATTGATCTCCGAAATCGACATTTGACTATGCTGGATGGGGTATTCGAGCTATAATCAAACGAGGGTTTGTGGCAGAAACGAAAATTTCCGAACGGAAATCTATTAGTGTATGGCCACCTTAAGAATGGATTAAAATAATTGCCATCTGTCTCCCAATGTGGATATTGTATTTAACTTCCTGATCTAGGCACACAAAAGGAAGTCAGAGGAATTCTTTCCTATGTGAAAAAAATCGCCTCTTAGACAGTTGTTACCAGAGCAAATACCCCAATTAGACAATTTCTCCTCTATTCCTTCTTTGGTGACAAATCAAGATTTGCAATTTTTCCTCGCTGTCAGTCCAGATGACTGAAGTCACCAGAACAAGTGGAAAGAGTGCATTTCCTTAGCAGGGGACACAAATGGCAATAAATACCGGAGTAAATTGTGTAAAAAAAACAACAAAACTTCAACCCCAGGTGGTATGCAGAGGCCATCATTTAGCAGAGCAAGCTAGTGGTTATGTTGTCCCTATCAATATATAAATGTATACACAGACCTTTTCCATCAGCTAAATACCTTATTGTGGTTGTGGACTTGTCCTTGCCGACCAGGAAGTTGTGCTTTCCTTCTTTTATTTGCTGAGCCCATGAAGGATGGATCCATACAACTTGAGAGAAGTGGCCTGCATACACTACAGGCATGATCCAGTTCTCAATGCTTAATTCACTGAAAAAAGATGAAAATATGAATTGACCACTACAGAATAGAGCTGCATGAAACATAAATATTATAATTATTGGTATTCACATAGTGCCGACAATTTACACAGTGCACATTCACATTAGTCCCTGCCCTCAAGGAGCTTACAATCTAAGGTCCCTATCCCACATTCACAGGGTGATTTAGACATGAGCCAATTAACCTACCAGCATGTCTTTGGAGTGTGGGAGGAATCCTTAGTACCCAGAGGAAACCCACGCAATCACAGGGAGAACATGCAAACTCATTGCAGATAGTGACCCGACGGGGATTTGAACCGTGGACCCCCAGTACCGCAGGGCAGAAGTGCTAACCACTACGCCACAGTGCTATAAATGCATTTATATTTGATTACCAACTATAAAAGCACATTTAAATGTCCACAGAACATATATTACAAACAAGTTTATGCAAAGAAGGTTTAATAACATTCATGGATTCTTGTGTAAAAGGTTTAGAAGGTTTTCAACTCATATTTAAAATCTGGTAGCAGGGCCTGTGTTACCAATAGGTATGGTAGGCCAGTGACTATAGGCACTACTGCTTTAGAGGAGTTCGTCAGCGAGGCCTGATTTATTGACAGGTATGGTAGGCCGGTGACTATAGATGAGTCTGCCAGACTTTAGAGGAGTCTGGCAGCAGGGCCTGATTTATCTACAGGTATGGTAGGCCAGTGACTATAGGTACCACTACTCTAGAGGAGTCTGGCAGTGGGGCCTGATTTATCTACAGGTATGGTAGGCCAGTGACTATAGGTACCTCTACTCTAGAGGAGTCTGGCAGTGGGGCCTGATTTATCTACAGGTATGGTAGGTCAGTGACTATAGGTACCTCTACTCTAGAGGAGTCTGGCAGTGGGGCCTGATTTATCTACAGGTATGGTAGGCCAGTGACTATAGGTACTACTCTAGATGAGTCTGGCAGTGGGGCCTGATTTATCTACAGGTATGAAAAGTCAGTGACAATAGGCACCACTACTTTAGAGGAGTCTAGTAGCGGGGCCTGATTTATCTATAGGTATGGAAAGACAGTTACTATAGGCACCCTACTTTAGAGGAGTCTGGCAGCAGGACCTTCTTTATCTACAGGTATGGAAGGCCAGTGACTATAGGTACCACTACTTTAGAGGAATCTGGCAGTGGGGCCTGATGTATCTATTGGTATGGAAAGCCAGTGATTATAAGCACCACTACTACAGATGGACTATAACGTCAATACAAATTAGTAAAGTCAATGTGAGATTGTAGTCTATCACGGCAGCGAGCTTGGAGCGGTGGATACTTTACAACACACATAGGGACCATGGGGAACCAAAGTAGACAACCTCCAAAAGGAAGAACAGTGTCAGCATCAATTCAGAGACGATTCAAGGATCTACAGCCAAGTGATGCCCAAATAAGATACATTTTTGTTAATAGTTAAGGTGCTTGAATACATTTTTAGGATTGAACTCCTGAGTTTTGTGTCACTTTCATTACTTTCTGACCACGTTATTTAGTTTACTAGCCACATCAATCTGGTGAGTCTGTTTCTATTGAGGAGATCTCTGGTGGTAGAAAAATGTGCCATTTGCCTCTAAATTACCTGATGCTGCTTTTCACTGGGTTGGGGATTGAAAATCATGGGTCTTTTTTCCCTTGAGATTTCTTTAGAGCACTTGGGGATGAAATAACTGAACAAACAGTTTTCACTTTATTTAACCTTTTTGTCACATGTTTGCACTTTATTTGCACTGGAATTTTTATTGATTAGCACAAATTAAGCTCCTACAGTTGGCCGTTGGGCTGCCTATCTGCAGCACTATAGCAATTTGAAGAAACACACACTGCATGCTGACAACATTGCTGCTAAATGCAAGGCAGTGGATTCAGCATGGTCGGCCTAAAACAGAATCACACAAAATGATTTGCTTAATAAAACTGTATTCAGTGAGGCATGAACATACTAAAAAATAGATTTGGGATTTAAATTCACTTTTTCTTTGCCATTCGACATTGAAGCCTAGATGTCCCGCCAGAGTCCTGGTTACCTTGACAATGACTATGAATGTTAAATTTGACTAATTTGCCTACCTGAAATACTTTTTAAACGTTTGTACGGCTTTTATTTGTAACAATGTTTTAATAAATTCCCTACTCATGCACTTTATTATAAGCTGGCAACTGGACAAAAATTATTTTTGACTATTTTACACACTTATTAATCAAAACATTGTTGCAAGGGAAAAAATTGCTGTCGATGAAAGGTCTGTGTCGTTGAAATTCAAAGTGATTTGTGGCTCGATTGCTAAGTGGCTGACTTTTTCCAGCGTTTGGAACTAGGAGACAGAATTGTTAGCTTCAGTAACTCCTCATGTCATCCAATGCAGCTGCTGATGATCATGGCCGGCCAGAAATGTGTATAATTTGCATATACAGTATGAGCATTAAAATGTCGTTAAAGTCTCATTTTTTTCTCCCCCCCTATGCTGGTGTAAGGACTTACCTTAAATGATGCCTCTTGATCCGATCATCTTCTTCCCAGTAGTTTTCAGGAGTCCCTCCAGCGCTGGTGCCAGTCTTTGATCCAGCGCTGACTGCTATGTCCCACGGTGTCTGTTTGTGTGCACGCTGCCGGGCTGCTTGCATTTACTTGTACAAAAAAACAGAAAATTTAACCCGATAAAGGATAACGGGTTAAGTAGCGGTCAAATTAAGGATCCGGACAAGTCAATGAATAGAAAAAGGAGATAATTTTATTGAAAACACATATACGTTTATACATTTAACTCATTAAATACTATTAAAACCATGGATAACATGCAGTCGCAAATTAAATGTGGATCAACCCTAATAAATATTGTGCTTGGGTCCCCACCGTGGGGGGAAGTGACCGATGCAGCTATTACTTCGGTCCCTTCTCCTCCATCAATTCCCATATGTATGTCAACCTGCGTGAACTGCAAGGACCGAGGGAATGGTCCCGACCGTGGAGGATGAGGAGGAGAAAATGAGGGGAAAGGAGATTATCTTCTAGTTTCCCTACTTGGCTATAGTAAAAGATTCTGGACAGGTCAGTGCTTGTGGTATTGATTTCCTCTGCTTTCCGTGGATTATATCAAATATATTAAAGATGTTGTCTGTTAATATGTTGTTTCTTGTGTCAATTTCTTCTTATTTCGGAAAGATTTATTATCACTTTACTTCCAGATTATGTTGTCTTCTGTTGCCTGGTTATTATTTGAAGATAAGTTCTCCTGTTATTTAGTATTAAATGTCACTGGCTTTGGTCTAGCCGTATGTGCAGTTAACTCCTTCCAATGTGTCCACAGTGAATTGCTCTAATGAGAGCGGTGAGGTGTGGTAATTCCTACTGTTTGTGGGGAGGGAAACTTCACTACAGGCAGACTATTACTGGATTTTCTTTGATTAACCAAACGCCTGACTTTTTCTTCTCTTTTTTTCTTCTCTGTCCTGACGAAGCCCCTCCCATTGTACGGGGCTTCGTCAGGACATCATGGATCCTTAATTTGACCGCTACTTAACCCGTTATCCTTTATCGGGTTAAATTTTCTGTTTTTTTGTACAAGTCTATTTTGGTCATGGATCGGATAAAGTAAGCTACTATGCAAATCGAATCAGGGCAACTATAACCAGTCGGATCTCCAGGTAGGAACACAAGCCCCTTCTTTCTGCTTGCATTTACTTACCTTGTGTCTCTCCTCTTCTCCCGGCCGAAGATCTCTACTGCGCCCGCCCCATCATCATTTGCGGCTGCCCGAGAATCTTCAGATCTTCGGACGGGAGCCTGCGGCGGAGACACAGGTAGGTTTTAACCTTTTTGGTAACTTTTTTAAATGTTTGCTATCAGTAGATACATGCAAAACACCCAAGAGGGTTTAATTATCCTTCAAGCATAGATAAGAAAACAAAGAGAGAGCGCTTTAGCAGTTACAAATTGCTGCTGCAAGGTTTGCCAACGTGACATGGGCCTTACACTTCCATGTAATAAAATCAATAAAGAAGACTCAGATTTCAAAGTCTTTCCAATAATGCTCCCTTTGATTTAGCATTCTCTACTTGGACATGTCCATATTTTAGCTTACACTAGTAAAGTCTGGTTCTGTTTCCGGTAGTGCTGCTATGTTTGGAAGTATTGTACTTTGAAGAACCACCCCTCTATATATTTGTTATGTGTTCCTATTCAGGCAGCATACCTAAAAATACTTTTCTACCTTTTTAGATGTATCTTTGGTGAAGGCCTATGTGCAGATTTTAAGCTACTCTGAGCAGTTTAAAGGTAAAAGTAGAGTGACAGACTGAGCTTATTCTTATTAACATACAATGCTTCTAAGTCTTTAACACTTTGTTAGGACAGTGTTCTCCGGACACAGTATAACAGGGGTGTTGAAATGTTTTTTTTTTTTTTAAGTATTTAAATAAGGTCTTTATTGATAGCAACTTAGAAGACAGACCTAAACATACTTTATGCAATCAACAAACAAAAGTAGATAGTGAGCTTAAACAGAACATAATCATTATATAATCATTATATGACAGCCCTGGTGTCCTGTGTGTGAGAGCACCACAAGTGTCAGCAGGCCTTGTCCATTATATTACAGCCCAGGTGTCCTGTGTGTGAGGGCACTAAAAGTGTCAGCAGTCCTTGTCCATTATATTGCAGTACAAGTGCCCTGTGTGTGAGGGCACTAGAAGTGTTGGCAGTCCCTGTCCATTATATTACAGTCTAGGAGTCCTTTGTGTGAGGGCACTGCAAGTGTCAGCAGTCCTTATCCATTATATTACAGTCTAGGAGTCCTTTGTGTGAGGGCACTACAAGTGTCAGCAGTCCTTGTCCATTATATTACAGTCCAGGTGTCCTGTGCTTGAGGGCACTACAAGTGTCAGCAGTCCCTGTCCATTATATTACAGTCCAGGTGTCCTGTGTGTGAGGGCACTACAAGCATCAGCAGTCCCTGTTCATTAAAC